CCACACACACACACACACACACACACACACACACACACGGCAACGCTCACCACCAGCACACACAATGGCAGATGCAAGTATCAGCGACAGCATGCAGCGCATTTGCAACTTGGAAATATAACCACTATTTTCAATTTGTGGGGATAAAGGACGCAAACAATATTACGGTAAAATATAAACTGTGTGCAGGACAGGTTCTCTCTCTCTCTCTCTCTCTCTCTCTCTCTCTCTCTCTCTCTCTCTCTCTCTCTCTCTCTCTCTCTCTCTCTCTCTCTCTCTCTCTTTAAATGAGATGGAAAAGATAAATCCCTGCTGTTCTGCGTCGGCGCGATGTGATCAAACTCACCTGTAAATCAGGAAACTGGAGATTCCAAAGATGATGAGTGCTAAGCCGGATCCCACAGCTACGATACCCAGAACTGGCAGATGACCTGGAAACAGGAGAAGAAGAAGGATTCCTCACTCAGTTGTCTCTCATATGTTCAACAGATGTCCACATTCATATCTTTGAATAGAAAAGAAGAAGAAAAAAAGCACCGTGCTGTAAAAAAAACACAGCTCCGATTCCCTGAAGTGCAGCTGCAATCGTTCGACCACAACAACCGGGAACAATTTCACACAATTACATAGCTCTGACAATCCTGATATATATTTACAGCCCTAGTGAAGACTAATTATAGCACGTGCTGTAAATCACAGGATAGGATGACACTCATTATCAGGGGATTATAATTGATGACAAAATATGTTTGAAACTGTTCTTGGTGGCCTGAATTACAAAGAAAATACCTTACCTGCAAATACAATAAAAAGCATCCATTAGGGATAGCTCAACATTATGCTTAAAGGGTCAAAATCGCACAATAAACAAAGATAAAGATGAATTTGAATGAGAGTGTATGATATTTTATGGATGTTATTGTGACTTATTTGGGCCACTTTCATAAATTGTGAAAAATCTGATATTGTGACAGCTCCAATATCAACTGCAGTATTTAAACAGCTGGAGCCAGGACATGTTTAGCCTAGCTTAGCGACGATAACAAAAATACTGTCAGTCTGGTAAGAACTGACACACTGTGAGCCATTCCTCTGCAGACTATACGCTCCCACAATGTTCTGTAATTCTCCACCGATTGTTTTACAGAGAGGATAGCCCTGATGATAGGAAGAGAGCAACACAAGGGTAGGACGGGGGTTAGCTGGACTTGTCTCAATACATAGGACATCATGGAAAACCAAGCCAAAACACCGGGTTCATCACTGATAAGCGTGGGACAATGTATTTGTTATAAAATTGTGTTTTTCCCTTTAGTGTGTTATATAGGTTTTAGTGCATGTATACGGTCTTCAGAGGCTGAAATCCCAAAGTTCACCCACACACTCCCCCCCTGAAAACACCTTCATTGGACTCCTTTGTTTACTTGCATAACATAGTGACATCAGTATGTAACACTCAAGCTTGTACGTGACAGGCTAAAGGGCGGGACATCTCTAAGCGGTTCATCAATCACAACAGAGCCGGCCATCTAACCAATCAGAGCAGACTGGGCTCTGGTTTCAGACTGAAAGCATGTAAACATGTCACAGGAGAGTCACAAAATACAATATGAACCTAAAGAATACATGCACATGCTTCTTATACAGGTACATAGAACTACACACAGTTTGTGCACAACATGCACATGCAGTTGAGAGGTCCAGAGCGGTGAGGCAGACAGTCTAGCCGGCGCAAGGGAGCAGTTGGGGGTCCGGTGCCTCGCTCAAGGGCACTGGTGAACTGGCTCCTCTCCAGTACCAGTCCACACTCTGTATTTGTTGGTCCGATCGGGACATGAACCGGCGACCCTTCGGTTCAAAGTCCAACCCCCTACAGACTGAACCACTGCCGCCAAAAATGAGCATAATAGGGCCCCTTTAAAGTGTCGGAGAGGGGGACTTGATTTATAATCTGGGCCAGAATGATATTTATAATTAATGATCAACCCTTCAAGAAATGTCAGGGAACAAACATTAGAGTGGATCTGTGTATGGTATGCTGGCCCTTTCTGTTTCTGTACTCTATGGATGAGACACCACTATCATTGTGCGCATTTAAAATGTTTAATCGTCAATCTTTTTCCTCATATTTCTGATCACGTATTGCCGCTGGTGCAGAAAGCGACACTAGAGAAGGCGACATCCAGGCTCTCAACTCAGCAGATTATCTGCGGATGGCTCAGGATTTGTGACAGTCAGATTTATATCTCCTCCACTAATTATCCCTCCTTCACACCAAAATACATTTTATAATTGCAGTGGTTTCCCTCCTCAGTTCATCATCCGTGACATTTTCCCTGAGAAACTGTCACTCTGTCCACAACAAAGACTGATTCTAGCACTGCTTGTTATTCGAGCAAATATTACACTCTACTTTTGATCTGTCAACACATTTATCACCACAGCGTCAATGGTAATAACCCAGGCCCTGAAGAAATGACAGCGCTAATATAAACAAAGCATCAGGGCATTGTAATATACTTCCAGAAGTCATTAAGAGTGGGATAATGACTTCATGCAATCTCCTAAAATCAGTGTGTCCATTAGTCAACCTTTGGTGGATGTTTCTAGAGAACTTCAGAAGCAGGTATAGTCATCTGTAGCAGGTTTAGTGTGTTGTTGTATGATGGATGAGTCCGAGCGGTCATACCATCATTGCAGGAGGGGTCGTCTGTGGAGAACACGCAGGGCGGGTTATCGAGTGGTGGACCCCCGTTGGGCCAGTGGATCTTCTCTGTCTGGGACCAAATTATGTCTTTGTTGGTTCCATTGTAGTATGCCACAATCTGCAAACACAGAGGGAAACACTCTTTTAAATGGAGGAACAAGACCAAGTTGATGACAATGTTCATCCTTTGTTGTGCAACCGAGTGATTGCAGATGTCACTTCCAGGCAAGCCGCTGTTCCACAAGTTAACAAAATAAATAATATGAAACCCTGTCTCCTGAAATGTTTTCCTAACTAAGCTAAACTGAATACTCAAAAAATATTTTCTCCTGGATTATGGTCAGAGTATTGAAACATAGTTAGTTAGTTAGTATAAGTTAATATTGGCTTATGGTTTCACACTGGACATGAACGGTGGACACATCAATAACAGATTTTTTTTGTTTTCCTTTCCTATAGTGTGTTATATAGGTTGTTGTGCATGTAAATACTCGACAAAAATAAAGCACTTTCTGAACGTTATAGCATGTAAACATGTCACAGTTGAGGCACAAAATACACATAAACCTGAAAATGAGCAGAATAGGGCCTCAAGATGTTTCTCTCAAACACGTATAAGCGATACGTTTCCAAATCTTCTAAAGCTATGTTATAACCAGGAGCATCCACTGGTTGCCTATTTCCTAAAATGTAGGAGTATTTAAGAAACATCAACGTAATTTAGCTTTTACTGAGATTAAATAAATTATATGAATAATTAATAGTGATATTAGAAAAGCTCATTTGAGATAGCATGTCAGTATAATCCAATAAGTAAGTGAGGCAAGATGTCTACCGGGTCTCCGTCATGCCCCTGCATACATCAACACAAGCAGAGTTTTCAAAACATCGCGTGTGTGGGTGGGTGCGTGCGTGAGCTCCTATATTTTGACGTTACAGCCTCATGAGCAGCATCTGTCGTCCTGCTGTGAAACTCGACTCCTGTGTTTCTAAGCAACCTGAGGAGTTTTTATGTTTTCCTCCCCTGCTCCCAGCATGTTGTGTCATCTCTGCTGAAACCCTGAAGGGCATCACCCCGACAGAGGGTCATCAAAACAATGCAGAATGTGTTGGGTGATGGGAAGAGGGAGGCCTGTCTGAAATAGCTGCAGCATGTCAGTTAGGGGGTTCTGTTTAATGCACTGCGATCACCTATCGCTTGAGCTCACTCTCAAAACCACTATTGCCTAAGGGTCTGTGGGCTGAGAGAGACATGTTTTCTTTTACAGCTCAAAAGATATAATGGCGGTACATCAACAGTATACATAAAGGTATAAAAAACATAGAGAGAGGGAATATACACTTTACTGTAGATGTGTTTCAGTTTAATTGTCGAGCAAATTTAAGTGAACTTTTGAAATGTTGAAAAAAAGAAATACGAATTAGTCACGTTTCCATCAACTGGTTTGGGTTATACTGTCCACGTCTTTAATCTGAAAGTTAACGCAGCATACAAAGTAGAAGTTGCGAACAAGAAGCAAGAAATGGAGATAGGTCTTCGGGTTTTATGCTTTCTGGAGACAAATCCAAATCCCTACCAGTATACCCTAACAGACCCTAACAGACCCTGACAGTAGAAACGTCTGATCAGTTCAAATGTTTTCTATATCAGAAATTATTCGACAAGGCTTTTCTTTATCACATATGGACCAACTATTTGACAAAGACAAAAGTCAGTCAATTCGGCGTAAAAACGTTTTAAAGTGGACCTATCATGCTATATTTTAATAATATAGTGTAGGACCATACCTATATAAGGCATATTTATACTTTTTATTTTTCAAAATACCAAACAGATCATGCATTTTAGCCATTCCTCATTTCGCTCAATTTAACACTGTCTTTGCATGGACTGATTCTGTGAGAACAGCACCATCTACAGGCCTGGCATATGTACTACAGCGTCTCCAGCGCTTTCCAACGGCAATGTCCGTGGCTGTCTCCTCCTGATTGGTGGAGTTGGCCCAATAGCTGTAGCGCCACTTCTGTGACGTCATATAAGTGTTCAAATCTGGATCAGTCTGTATCACATCCTTGCAGCCCCTTTTTAAGAGATTTGGGTATGGAGGAAAATAGAGAGGGTTGTGTTTTCTGACACTTGGTGAGTTCCCTGGAACACCGGGGACACATATTCATGTAGAAAAGACGTACAAAAGTGCATTTTGTATGATAGGTCACCTTTAAGCAATTGACAAGGTTTTATCCAATTTTTATACAGCTTTTCTAATGTGATACTTTAAAATTAGCATTCAAATATAGTTATGGGATCATGGCTCAGCAGCCAAATGTGTGTGGATACCTCACACAGTACACCTAAAAGGGGTGATGGTTTCTTTATGGACCTGGCTTCATGTATGATGTACATTTTAAGTAAAACTCCAATAGTCTTTCAGTCAGAACAAGATGGACAGGGGGGTCCCTATATTTATTTTATAAATTAAATTGAGCAAACAGCTGTACATCCACTGAGGAACAATCCCAAATGTGGTAATGTCATTTATTATGTAAAGACATGCTTCTAGCCTTTTTCCAGTTTCAGCTATTTATAGCAATGCCAGATGAACATAAATGTAATATATACATCCTTGTCTTGAATGTTCGCACATACAGTCAGCGTAGTTATCATTTGACAGATTATTGCAAATGTACTAACATGGTAGATGACAATAGATACACAACATGTTTATAATCAGCTGTCAATTAATATGAATCAGCCTGAGTCATTTTGATATATCTTGTTTTAATAGCAGTCTGAGATCCTGTAGCTGAAATCAACCTGGGATGTTTTCAACCCGTCTGCTGGCTACTCGGCCGTATATATGAACCAATTAAAAGCAGAGGATAAATGAGAGCAGGAAGTCCTGACGACAGCCTCTGCGGGCCTCTATGAAATTCTAACTGAAGTCAAATTGAGCACTTCTCCCACCCTCAGACACACACTGGAGCAGTTCACAGCAGTGTTTGCACAGCGCAACATGCACAAATATGTTCATCGGACTGGGAGGGAAATTTGAGGTTTTATGCATCTTATCATTAGAGGAGTCGTGACCCCAGAATATGTCCCAGATAGTAAAATCCCTATCGAAGAAACGAGAAGGCTGAGGTTTTACACTGCTCCATTAGAATGAAAACAATTTAGAGTTTGAAAGTCTGATTGGAGTTTAAAGGGACACATGAAGTTAAGGAGCCTTGCATTATGTTCCATTAATATCGTTAGTATTTGTGACCATAGCTTTACATACGGAGACTGAAAATGACTGTATTAAAGGTCACCTATTATGCAAAATCCACTTTTTCCTGTCTTTTATACATCAACATGTTTCCCCTCTGTGTAAAGAGATTCTGAAAGATTCAGAAAAAAAAAATTCGCTCTCTTTTTGAGAGCGAATCCATTTCTATAAAAACCTGTCTGAAAATCTGCTGATCAGATTTTGGCCACTTAATGATGTCATAACGATTTTTTGGCTTGTGTAACCATTAGCCAATCAGCAACCAAGGTACCCCCCCAGTTTATCACCTGAATCTCCTCCTAGAGCACCATTGTGTTCTTTCTAACCAAATGTCTCTCAGAGGGGCGTGGGGAGGGGCTCCTTATTTTCATCTAAAGTAAGCAGACAGGAGAGTCAAGCACTTTGGTAAACGGGCCCTGAAACAGAGGGGGTTATGGGATGCTGCAATGATCTGTTTGGTGTTTGGAGCCAAACACTCAGAGACATGTTTTGTATATATCTGAGACCTATAATGTATTGATGAAAAACAGTATAATAGGAGACCTTTAAAGAGTTCCTTTATGGGATAGTTGACAAAAGGTTTTGCAAGGATAGTCATCCTCCAAAATTCAGCGTCTATTATCCCATATATTAAAATCTGTCAGACACATTAAACACAGATCATATTATCGAACAATAACCGTGAAAGCTCAACTTACCCCGTACTCTCCCGTCTCCTGATTGGTCATCGCCCACAGGTTGACGTCTATATCCCTGGCATTTTTTTGGTCTGTGGTAACAAGTCCCGTCACTCCTAAAAACACATATCATATATAAACATTACGGGTGTGAGACGTATATGTTTCTAATACAAACTGATATTCTTGTATTGACTTTGCAAGCCAAAAAACAAACAAATATGAGTCAGGATTTTTGCACTTCTAGTTCTATTGCCTTGAAGTCAATGGGTTTTATGCGTGAAATAATGAATGTGGAGATTTTAAAGTTTGTTTTACGACATAAATTAAGTCGTTAATATACATCGTCGTAAATTGGAAGCTTTTAGGTTTCATTGAAAAGGAAGCTGCTAAAGGAAGTGGATGAATAAATGATGTTAGTCGTCGTTATTGCGAAAAACTAGTCTACCCCTTAGCTTTGTGGTAGGGACAAGGAGTCATGTGCTAGTGGTCTAGCTAGTTTATGGTTTTTTACTACTGTCTTAATGCTTCAAAAGGTGTTCATTTGAAGATTATCTTGATGAACGAAACAGCTGAAGGAGCCAGGGCAATGCTAACTTCAAATGTGGGCTTAAAACTGTACAAAACCCCATCCACAGAGCATCAGTTTGGATCATAACATTGATTTATTTGCATTTGTATTACACCACAGTTTCTTATTGAGCTTTATCCATCTACAGAAGAAGCATGAATTCCAGCATTATCCCTTTATAGTTTTATACTGCTGATCAATCAAGTAAAGCTTAACAATAAGATGGGCTGTGATTTCTAAGATGAAGAAATATACTTTTTCAGCTGGTATTAGATATTTGAAAGTTATTTTCCATCTTTATTATTTCTCAACATCGACTGTGTATTCTTGGTTTATTTCCCATCATGATGATGATCAAAACAATCCTCAAGCTGTTTGATAATATTTTTATTATCATACATGTTACCTCCTTGTGTCTATTAACCTGATAAAATGTTATATTTCGCTGCATGTACCTTTTTAAAGTTCTTAACAAATAATCTTAGGGGAATTTCTTGATGTTTTTAACTTGTGATGTGTTATTCTGTAATGCACTTTGAGCTTAGCTTTATTTATTATTATTATTATTATTATTATTATTATTATTATAAGTAGAAATGTTTGTGCCGAATCTAAAGATATCCCTCGTCATGTTCCTGAGATATCGAGAATGGGACGGACAACCGTAACACATAATACAATAATAAGTTGAAGTCTGTCAAAATATAACATGTTACACTACATTTGCTCACCCCAGAATCTGCGGTTCTGCGTCCTCATCGTAATGTTGATCCCATCGTTCTGCGCTCCGCCGTCTGCCAGCGTTTCCTCCAAGGCCATCGCGTAAAGAACAAATCCATCATAAAAGCTGCCGGCGATGTAGTCCTTCTGCAAACAGGGAAACATCATTATGATTACCAGCAGCAACAATGATTTAAGACCTAATGATGGAATACAAAATTACACTTTAAATGGAGGAATTTCCTATCCTTCAGCCAAATAGCTGCTTGTATAAAAAGATGATCACGTAAAAGTACACAAAACAATGTATTCCTTCTAATGTACCTTTGTGAAACTCCCCTACTTAAAAGTTGAGATCAAAGCAGTAATAAAAGGAAAAGTGTTATTTGCTAACGTTAATGTGTCAACATCATTACTGCTCCCAATTACACAGCACAGTGGGGATTTTTTTTGCACATCTAATAAAAGATTAAAGAGGTTCTGATGCTGCTGAGAACGCATACTGTTTTCATAGGCTGTTATTTACCAATGATGGTTCCAAGTGCACACCGAAATCCCTCTGAGCTCTGGCATGGAGTTTCCTCTGGAAGTCTTTGTACTCAGGATTATCAGGAGGCCGGTACGTAATGACGAAAACAGACTGGAGGAGACACACAGAGGCAAAAACATTTAAAAAGAACTACAACATGTCATATGGGATAAATTCTCGAACAGTAAAACTCAAAAACTGTAAAATCATGTTATTATCATGTTGTTTTTAGCTGTCAAAAATGATAAAAATCAGCAAAATACAAAAGGCCTATGGCAAATCTTGATCTACACACTTAAGGCATTGTTTGTGACACCTTTTAGTTGTTTGTGGTTGGTGTTACAATCTGTTAACTGAATAAGTAGCTAAAAAGCCTTCAAGCTAACGGTTGTTGAGCTAACGGTCAAAACAAAGCTAGCAGTCATTCCTGCTCTGCTACGTTTCGTCCCCCCAACCAAAACTTTGTCATATCTCTTCATCTGTTATCAGAAACAGAGGGATAGTGAATGAAAACACGTGCTCTGTAAAAAAAAAAGCTACATTTTTACAAGATAAGTAAAGATAAGATTATGTGAAGTTAAGTTAGCCGTTGTGAAAGCCTCAAGATGGATGTTTGCTGTTTCCTTTCCCCTAAAGCTGTAAATTGAACTTCTAGAAATAATTGTGACCATAAAATGAAATGAAAAGTCATAAAACATGACTGACATTATACAGTAACATCCTAGTCCAGTCATATACAAGACAGTTAGTAATGCATTTAATTGTTTCTGCTTGAGGGTCAATGCTAATACAGATATAAGCATGTTAACTGTCTAACCAAAGCTAAAATCAACAACCAAGACATCGTGTAGTCAATGACCATATAACTACCAGTGCTTTGTAATGTGATCAGCAAAGGTTAACAACATGTCAGCCTTTGATGGGAACAAATCGCTGTATCACCATATGAGTAGAAGTTTTGGATGGAGAAGTACATTATTCTGCCAGACATTTCAGTCCAAATATTTGTTCGAATGACCTTTGAAACTGTTGATATATGCGCTGCTATCATAGAAAAAATATTTGTTTTAGGCCTTTTTAGAAAATGATTAAGCGTCGCTCTCAACTGGAAGAACTATAAATCGTTTTTCATGTAAGAACAGTTATTGGATCCCCACCACAAACATCCACATGCAATTAAAGCACTGCCATAATGAGCCGTGGTATAGTTTGCAGACAAATTAACGCCTTGCATGATCAGCACATGTGACATCATTTTTTTTCAGATAATACTGTACTTCAGTAAAAGTGTCCGTTCCCAATCATTGTTTTCACTTCCTTTGAAGGAAGTTAAGAATCAATCATTTGCATTTAAAATGTAAATATTGCAATGCTTTATGCCTATAACATATTAGAAAAAATAGTAGCCTACAAATGTTAAGACTGAGAGAGTTTGAGAACATCTAATTACTATAAAACGGAAAGCAAAGAAATACATACATTTCTATTTCATTCTTATGCTAATGTTTCACTTGTTTTAAGCCTTTTAGTCAGGCCATTATGGCAGAAATGTTCACCATGCCTGAGATTTATATTCACGAAGCCACTCTCCATCAAACCCTGAATTAAAGAATTAAGTAAAGGTATGTTTGACATTCAAGGAGATAGATTGGAAGCAACACGTGTGCGCCCACTCTCTTCATGCACTCATTTAAAAAGGGTTGAATAATGTCCGATGAAACACATCCCCTCCATTTATTAATGTAATGTCAAGCCTTAATGTGGTCGAAAGGATTGAGGGCTCCTTGTCCTTTGAGAGACATCATGTGATTACCATAAAAGCTTCCCATAGATATGAAGAAACTTTGTGGAAAAAGTGATATTTAATTAAAGAAAATTGATTTTGAAAGTATTCTAATTTAGATTTAAGGAGTTATTCAGTAAGTAAAGCCTGATAGAGATTATGGGATTTAGAGAGAAAATGAGCAGAAGCAGGAATAAAATATGCATCGTCAGGGACATCAATTTCTCATGCCAAATGGTGGTTTCGGTCTTCTATTATTTCCTGCCTCCAATTACAAAGCGGGTGAAACTCTGACAGTAAGTCTAGAAAGAATGCGAACACTGTCTCAATGTATCACTTTAACATATGCATGCTTGTTGCCAAACACTGTGTGTGTCTGTGTGTGTTCTGTGTGTGTTTCACCTTGAAGACCTTGATGGGATCGGCCCAGTCGGGGTCGGAGTTCTGCCACGGTTTCCCTTCGGCCAAGCTCTCCGCAAACACGTCCAGATAGAAAATAGCGTAGTTTTCTGGGTCCTGGATCTCGCTCTGAAACAGTTTCATGATGCTGAGGAAAGTCTCCAGGGGCCCGCAGATGTACACAACTGTAGAGAAAACAACAATAAAAAACATTTATTAGTATTTGTATTGAGCCAAAGATTAAACGTTAGGCCTCTTTTCCATTTTCACACAAAAAAACGATTCTTGTAAATTCACAAATATGTTCCGTAAATGATAAAGGGTTGAATTTTGAGAAACATAAGTAAAACAAGAAAGGCAAAGCAGGGACAATGAGCGAAATAAATGATTCAATGTCAATCTTTAATTATAAACTATTATGCAACCCAAGATAAAATAATCACAAGTAAACACTACAACTTAGAAACTCCTTTGTGTTAAGTAAACACACAACAGAAATATAAGTAAAGTAAAAAAAACAATTATGTTCATCTTAAGCACTGACTTCTTCAAAAGGTTGCTTTTCATTAAACATATTTAAGAATTGTTGGATTCAATTTCGATTTTCAAACGATGTAAGCAAGGCGACATATTGGGATTTTATTTTTAAATCAAATTTGAGCAAAACTGTCATTGTATATGGATTGCATAAGATAAGATAAGATAAGAAGTACTTTATTGATCCCTATTTGAGAAATGTTTGCGTTGCAGCAGCATAAAAAGACATGGCATTGTACATTACAAATTAAAAGACTAGAAATAAAATGTAAACATCTCAATAGAAATAAAATAGCATTAAAAAAGCCGAAAATATACATGTTGAATTACAAACTTACAGTAACAAAATATAAAGCAGGATATTATACATTAAGTATAATATGAGGAATGGAATATCCACTGCTTTTGAGAATCTGATCCACCTTCTGCCCCAAATAATTGCATGTAATTAATAACAACAAAAATCTTTACAATGTTTTCGGGAATTACTACCAGAAATCATAATCAATCAATCAATCAATCAATAACTTTATTAATCCCGCAAGGGGCAATTGGTTATGAGCAGCAGTTTATGTCATGTAAACAGGCAGGAACAGGCAGGAACATACAAGAAGAAAACACACAGATACACCCGGGAGCACAGATGTGGATAATTCCAATTTACACTATAAATAGTTCATAGCATCACAATAATAAATAAATAAATAATCAAGTTAAAAGCCTTTCAAGAATTTTAAAGTTTGAGTGCAGAAGGGATGAATGATTTTGAAAAGCGATTAGTCCTTTGATCAGGTAGAGCTTATCTACGCCCTGATGGCAACAGACGAAATTCATGTGAAAGTACATGACCTTGAGAGTTCAGAATGCTCTCTGCTTTCCGCAGAATCTGTTGGTTACAGAAGGAATTTTTTAATTTAAGAATTTAATATTGCAATACTCAATGCATCAATATTTTCTTACCCCACTACTACTCTCTTAAAGTTACACTCAAGATAATCATTCAAACAGGCTGAAATAAGGATATAAAAATGGTAAAAATACTTTATTTAGGTCAACAAAACCTTCAGGTGTCGACAATAGACAAAAATTGCTTAACAAAATAGAGAGTTGACCGTTGTTGGACACATGCAAAGTCACAGGCCACATTTACACCACAGGACTTGACACACTGTTCTGAATTTGTGTCCACATCTGAATTTGTTTGAACACCTGTTTATTTCTCGTTTCAGCAGTAAGCCATATTTGATTATTTACACTCACAACAAGCGGTAAGCATACATGAATAAATGCCAGATGTAAGGCCGTGTGCCGGGCCAGCTCACCATCTGCTCAAAGGTCCACTGGAGCAATGTGTGCCAGATCATTTCTGCAACCCCTCTAACTGACCAATAGTATCTGTTAAAACCAGAGCCCAAAGACATTTTTCACCTTTCCTAGAAGTTACACATCTTGAAATCAACAGTGTTACACATATAGTGGATAATACACTTGGATCGAGATATTAAATATTCAGCCAGACATTTCAATCCACATTTTTTTGCCACAGGTGACCTTTGATTCTGTCTACATTATTGCTGCTTTCACAAAAACAAGTTTTAGACAGTTCTGGAAGTCCTCAAACTTTGCTCTTTTGCTCTATGTACTTTTCGAGTGTTGCAAATGTTGGATTTAAACAGATGCCAGGGTTTGCCAGAAAATGTTTTCCCACAAAATAAGCCACAAATCGTGATGTTGGATCAGAGGACTTCTCAAAGTGGCAATATCCAAAAGAAGCAAGGAAAGGGATTCAAAAGAAACTATCCTACCAAGAAAAGCAATGGCATCAGACCTTTCATCATTTGCCCAAAACCAACACATGTTTACTTTAAATTGCCAAAGCCCTTCAGCAGGAGGAGGAGAAAGTCATGGACGGATTGATCAACAAAATATTGAATGTCAACACTTTAAAGTTGACTGTTTAAACACGTGGCTAACGTTGCCAATTCAAACAAAGCTACTCTGTTTTGGAAAATATTGTGGTTGGGGTTAAATATGTACGTTTGTTACGTTAAAATTGAAGTCACATATGAACCCGAGATGCATAAGTGATAAGTTACGTACGGTGGTCTCGTCAGATCAGTACTACTTGTCATGATCCTATTTTCAAGGTAATCTGTTCCTTTTTTTTTATTTAGAAGTTTTCTCAATCTGTCATATCTGTGTTAACTTCCTGTCTTTTTATCCCCAACTGTTTTGATTGTACGTCCTGGCCTAGTTCCAACGGTGCCCCATTAACCCTGCAGCTACCTGGTCTCATGTACAGGACTGTCTCAGAAAATTAGAATATTGTGATAAAGTTCTTTATTTTCTGTAATGCAATTAAAAAAACAAAAATGTCATACATTCTGGATTCATTACAAATCAACTGAAATATTGCAAGCTGCCAAGGCACACGAGGGGATAGG